ATAGCATTTTCTCATATCTGACATGGGCAATGACTGGATTAGATACTTTCAGAGTTATCAAGTGACACTTGATTAAAAACTGAAATTCAGGCCAGGTGCAGTGGCTCATGCCTGTACTTCCAGCCAAGGCAGGAGGATCGTTTGAGCCCAGGGGTTTGAGACCAGCCTGTAAGACCCCGTTTCTACAAAAACAAAAAACAAAAAAACCCTGAAATTCAAGGAGTTTTAGCTGGTGGAATTTAGGTTAAGTATAACACACTATGTTAGCAAAGCTATGAAGTTAACTTAAGCAAGCAGACATTCTGTGTATTAGCATTTATATTATGAAAGACAAAATCAGAAGGACATTAAATATCGAATCAGACTTTCTACCATTAAACCCAAAACTAATCATCAGGTGTCAGTAGAACAATAATACAACAATAATTACAAATAAAGCTAATATTTATTAGATAATTCTTATTTGCCAAGCACTGTTCTAGGACTTGTCACACCAAGAATTCTAATTATTATCAATAATTCTAGTTTAAGTTAAATTCTAGTTTGGCTAGTTAAATTATTATCCTCGTTTTATAAATATAAATAAGTCACTTGCACAAAGTAAATGGCAGAGCCAATATTGGAAAGTAAGTCTTACTCTAGGGCCCATGCTCTTTTATTTAAACTACACAGCCACTGGTATTACAATAGCAGAAAGATACTGTCTCAAGTCTGCTTCCCTATAAATTAATGTTGTTAATTTTAACTTAACCTGGTTTAACAAATTCAAGCTGAATTTGTAAGTACATTTTGTATTTATAGCTATGTCAGAACTATAAATTTTATGTTTACATATATTTAAGTAACATTATACTAAAAATTATTTAAGCCATTAGGCATAAAGAAAGCCCATGAAAATACCTTTTCTTTCAAAAGTTTGAGAAAAATTTCTTTACAGGAAAAAAAAGTATGAAAGGATTACATCACTTTTCCAAAAGATGACAAAACCAATTAGTAGCAAAGTAACAGTGAATGCCTAGATTCCACCTGACTTCAGTTATGACAATCTACCCAACAATCCTTGTAGACTCTCTCTTTACAAGGTTCTGAACCTTTCAAAGAGTTTGTTGTTGCTGTGTTTTAATACCACTAGATCTCAACTGCTGATGTAAAACAAAATTGACATAAGAAGAAACAGAAAACTTAAGTAACTATGTACCTACAAAAGAAATTGACTTAAAAAACCTCCAAAAAGAAAGCTCAGGTGGTTTCACTGGTCAACTCTACCAAACATTCAAGGAAGAAATCACACAAAATTATGCAATATTTTCAAAAATATGGAGGAAAGAGAAAGCACTTCCTTCAACTTGTTTGAGGATGCCAGCATAACATTAATACCAAAACCTGACAAAGCCAATACAATAAGACAATTATAAATCAATATTCTTCATCAGTACTAATGTAAAAATCCTTTACAAAATATGAGCAAATGTAATCCAACATAGTAACAGTCTACAGGGAAAAAACCCACACAATCATTTTAATAGATGCAGGAAAAAGCATTTGACAAAATTATGTATCCATTTATAATGAAAACTCTTAGCAAACTAATAATAATGGTAGAGAATTTCCTCAAACCAATAAAGAGTATCTGTGAATAATCTATAGCTACTATCATATTTAATGTAAAAGACAATTATTTCCTTTTGATATTAGGAATAAGGCAAGAATGCCCACTTGTATCACTCTTATTCAACATTGTACTAGAGCTCCTTGCACTAAAATAATATAGTTGCGGGTGAGCGGAGGAGAAAAGGTAAAAAAATTGAAACAAAAGAATTAAACCTGATCCTATAATATATGTAAATAACATGGCTGTTTATGCAGAAATCACCAAAAATTCACAAAGCAACTGCTACAACTCATAATTGAATTTAGCAAATAACAGGATAGAAGATTAATACTAAAAGCTCAATTATTTTCTACATATTAGAGTAAAATATTTAAAGATTATATTTAAATAAATTCTACTTATAGTAGTCTCAAAATATATGTCAAGTAGTAATTCTTACAAAAGATGCCCCAGACTTCTATACTAAAAACAACAAAACAATGCTGAGAGAAATTAAACATGACCTAAATAAACAGAAAGATATATCATATTAGTGGACTGGAAGATTCAATATCATTAGGTTTGCAGTTATTTCCAAATTTATCTATAGGTTTGATGCAATTCCAATCATGAAGGTCTTGCAAGTCATGTTAAAGGCTTTAGTCTTTATTAAAGAGATAAAGTATTATATGGTTATAAGCAAAAAAGTAACTTTAGAATCATTATTCTGATTATAGTTTGAAGAGGTCAAGAGTGAGGCAAGAATCTAGTTAAGAGGTTTGATGCAGTCATTCAAGTAAAATATAATAATAATCTGGCTTGGACAGTGGTGGACAGATGAAGAGAATAGATCTGAAAACCAAGTAAGAAGTAGAAGATGAAAGATTGGATATGCTAAGTGGAAAGAAGGAAGTTATAGATTCCAACTTGAATATTGAGAAAAGGTTTCACTTATGCCATCTTACTCTGAGGGGTCTTTAACACACCAAATGGAGGGATCAAACAGACCACAGGATTTACAAGTCAGTATAAAGATACTGCCAGGCAAGGTGGCTCACACCTGTACCTGCAATCCTAGAACTTTGGGAGGTAGAGGCATGAAGATAACTTGCAGCCAAGAGTTGAAGGCCAGCCTGGGCCACATGGTAAGACCCTCATCTCTAGAAAAAAATTAAAAATTTAAAAAATTAGCCAGACATGATGATGCATGCCTGCAGTCCTAGCTCTTGGGAGGCTGAGTGATAAGGATCACTTGAGCCTAGTAGTTCAAGTTTAGAGTAAGCTATGATTGTACAACTGCACTCCAGCCTGGGCAACAAAGTGAGACCCTATCTCTAAAAAAAACTTAAAAACTAAAAATATATACATATATATAAAAGAAATTATGCTATAAATATTAAACATCTATGAGCATTTTTGCACCATCTTATCATAGATAATAAAAATTCGATATACAAAAACACACTGACAAAAGGCCCTGGGAACTCTCAGTTTGAAGAGTTTAAGTGCACGTAGGGATTATACTTCTTGACTTTCTCAGTAAGCTTATCCTCATGGGCGCTTAATCATAGGATGTTTGATCCTTCAGTCAAATCTGCTCAGAGGTTGAGAGATGTGCTACTGAGCCAACTGATGGCTAACTTTCCTGTATTTCAGAAGTTATTATTTTGTCCTATGTTTAATATGTCTTTCATCATTTATAAAGAAAGTTGAGATGAGGCTGGGTGCTATGGCTCACACCTGTATTCCCAATACTTTGGGAGGCTAAGGTGGGAGGAACACTTGAGCCCAGGAGTTCAAGACCAGCCTGGGCAACATAGTGAAACCTTGTCTCCAGAAAACAAACAAACAAACAAACAAAAAAAAAACACAACACACACACAACTATTTCATTCCCTTTCATCTTATCTTATACACACACACATAAAATTATATATATATACACACACATACGTGTGTGTGTGTGTGTGTGTGTGTGTGTGTGTGTGTAGATAGAGTTAAGATGAAAGGGAATTAAATGTTTGAGCTTAAACTGTGACTTAAAACACATTCATAAAGGCTAGGTGGGGCCGGGCGTGGTGGCTCACGCCTGTAATCCCAGCACTTTGGGAGGCCGAGGCGGGTGGATCACGAGGTCAAGAGGTCGAGACCATCCTGGTCAACATGGTGAAACCCCGTCTCTACTAAAAATACAAAAAATTAGCTGGGCATGGTGGCACGTGCCTGTAATCCCAGCTACTCAGGAGGCTGAGGCAGGAGAATTGCCTGAACCCAGGAGACGGAGGTTGCGGTGAGCCGAGATCGCGGCATTGCACTCCAGCCTGGGTAACAAGAGCGAAACTCCGTCTCAAAAAAAAAAAAAAAAGAAAAATGAATACAGAAGGAAGTCAGACCATTCGGTACAAAGCAGAGAATCAGCAACATTCTCCACCAACCTATGTAGATAAAAGCTTCTGGGTCTCTTCAAAGGGCCTCACTGTAAGAAGTTGCAAACATTCTGAATAGGTAAGGATCACACTAGGCTTTCTAGAATCTCAACTGCCTTCCCCTAAACTCAGACTGATGTGCATAAAACTTAAGAAATTCTGCCCACAGACTATTCTGGGTGTGTGTGAGCTACCCCCTCATGTGAGCTGGCACAGTGCAGGGGTGAAGAGCCTGAAGTCCACTGCCAGATGGCCTGGGTTTAAATCCTAGCTCTGGCCACTTGTTAGCTACGTGACCTTGGGCAAGTTATTTTACCTGTCACTTAGTCTCCTTATCTGTGAAATGACAATAATACTGACCTCATAGTGTTGTTATGAGCATTAAATGAACTTATATCTATAAAATGTGAAAAAAAAATCACTTGGTAATTGTTCACCTGAAATTAGGGGCTTTCTCCCCATTTTGGTGGTCTACCATGTAACTACAGAGAATAATACACAATACAGCACCATACACTCATAAAAGAGTGAGGCCTAGACAGAGAACATATACAATACAGCACGGTGTACTAGGCACAAATGAGGTTTTCATTTAACATTCTGATTTCTTAGACTAAAGTCACTCCTAAATTTAAAGCAGCATTATAAAACAAGGCTCATTTACCCAGACATCTCCGTCTCTGGGAGCCATGCAAATAGGCCCTTAGACCAGCTATATGATCTATTCTGCAGCTCTTTAAACCGTCAATCCCAGAGTTTATTTATTTTTGAGGCGGAGTCTCATTCTGTCACCCAGGCTGGAGTGCAATGGCACAATCTCAACTCACTGCAACCTCCGCCTCCTGGGTTCAAGCAATTCTCCTGCCTCAGACTCCTGAGTAACTGGGATTACAGGTGCCCACCACCATGACTGGCTAATTTTTGTATTTTTAGTTGAGATGGGGTTCCACCATGTTGGCCAGGCTGATCTCAAACTCCTGATCTCAGGTGATCTGCCCGCCTTGGCCTCCTAAAGTGCCGGAATTACAGGCGTGAGCCACCGAGCCCAGCCCGAGTTTAAGAGAAATCATATGGGCTTTTCAGTAGCATTTCTTTTCAGTAAGTATTGTATGACAGTGGGCCACTAGGCACTGGGAATACTGTTGTTAACAAGACAGTCATGAACTGTGCCCATATGGAGCTCATGGTAGCAAGGCAGGAGGAAGCAAAGAACTAATGATACAAGAAATAATTTTGCAGCAGTTCTACTAATAATTTTGCAAAGACAATATACTGAGTGCTAAGAGAGCAGAAAACCATAAAAAAACCTGTTCTATTCACAGAGTAAGCTCTGAAAAAGTGGTATTTAAGCAAAGAGCTGAAGAATTAGCAAGAATTCACAGATGAAGAAGGGATGGGACAGACAGAGAGAAAAGGTTTCTCCAGTCAAAAGGAAAAGCACAACTAACAATCCTAGGAAAGATTCTGGAAGTCTTTCATGATACCTATCAAATGTTATCCGTCGTTAGCAACTACCTTGCAACATTCTAGCGTCCCACATAGACTCAGGATAATAGATGCCATGATCTAAAGTAATTCTTACCCTGACCATTTGTACCATACTTCACCTATCCGCCTCCTAACAAATGCTGCTCACCAGCTCTTTGACAGATTGATCCAGTTTAAGTTCTAACTTGAAATATAGTTATGTGATGCAAACTAGTTATACCTTTGTTAAGAAAATTAATTTTTTTTATCCAAATTGTGTTTATTGAGATGGTTTCTCACTTATCTTGATTCAGAGTGCTTTCAGTGCTGCTTCCTCCTGAAAGAACATCCTACTATAAGCCATGATTTTTCTCCTGCAGGCTGGCGGAGGACAGTGGAGCAGCCAACACACAAAACTACCATTTGTGCATGGCTAAAGACCGTGGTGATTTTATAGCATCCTGGGCATTTCACATCCATGAAGTAGGAATTGAGGCTCTGTACCAGGGACTTCTTCTTGTGTTTCCTCTTCTCCTCTTCTGGAGAGGGATGAAGAAGATCCTTTGCGAGAGGCATGTTCTCGTGGGTAGGTCGTCACCGCCAGAAAGCGAAAATTAATTTTTAAAATAATTTTTAATATAATTTCTACTGTCATCAAAAACAAACCTTGATCTTAGTCAATAATTTGATACTGATACTGTATCAAAAATACAAGGCCCAATGTGGTGGCTCATGCATGTAATCTCAGCATTTTGGGAGGCCAAGGCAGGAGAATCACTTGAGGCCAGGAGTTTGAGATCAGCCTGAGTAACATAGTGAGACCCTTTCTCTATAAAACATTTAAAAAATTAACCAGAGGCAGTGGCACGAACCTGTAGTCCTAGCTACTTGAGAGGCTGAGGCAGGATAATTGCTTAAGCCTAGGAGTTTGAAGTTACAGTGCACTATGATCATACCATTGCACTACACCCTGGGTGACAGAGCAAGACCCTCTCTCTTTAAAAAAAAAAATAATAATAATACAGCTTCAAAAGTATCAGTGCAGGACAGGCCAAGGCAGAAGGATCATCTGAGGCCTAGAATTCAAGACCAGCCTAGGCAACACAGTAAGACCCTGTCTCAAAAAAAAAATCAGTGCAGATATCTAAAATACTTACTCATAAATATCTCAAAATTCCTAAGAACTTCCCCCAATTATTTATGTTTTTTAATTTCTACAATTTATAATAAGGTTATTACACACTATCAGAAAAGGATTAAAATGAATTGTAATGGCATTCCACTCACTAAAATTGTTCTACATGTGATGACTAGCAATATTATTCGATCACTTTTTAAAGTGGTTTTCCCATCAATGGGCGCGATTTGACATGATGATTCATACTTTATAGCCCACTCAAAGAAGTATAGTAAATAGAAAACCTAAATATTCTGTCTCAGAGTGAGTGATGTTTAACATTTTTAATTGCCTTTAACATAGCCGCATTCTCCTGATGGAATTTTCCAAGGCTTAAGAGTAACAGTGTCTCATGACAAAGGATCTGTCTCCGATGCTTGAAAATACAGCCTCACCTTGGTAAAGAAACTATAGGCAGGCTGATCCCAGATTTCAGAGAACAAAGTGAAATACATGTGCCTCCCCAGGATCCACTGGAACTGCCCTGGCCAAGGTCATCAATAACATCCCTATTAAGATATTTCATTGCCACTCTTCAGTCCCCTTCTCTGGGCTCCTCAGCAGCAATCACAGCTATTCTCTGTCCCCCTTGAAACCCTCTCTTTCCTTAGCTTCTATAATACTGCCTTTCCCTATTCTGCTATTAGTTTCCTTTGCTAGAGCACATCACTCTATTTTGACCTTTAAAACTAGAGTTTATTTCATGTGTTTTCTTCTCGTATTCTCACTAGATGATGCTCTCCTCCACCCCTACGGTTCTGGTTATCAGACAATATACAAATTAATATCTCAATAAATGGCATTAACATCCCTTCAAATGCTGAAGCCCAAATCCTGCAAATCACCCTTGACTCCAACACGTCCTTCACATGTCTACAAAGAAGAACCTGCAGGGCTGGTTTTCAAAACTACTATGTTTTACAAAGCTTCTTGTTTGCATTGCTGCTACACTTCTGAAGGGTGTAGAAAAAAAAAGAAACATTCAGACATGTACTTTATGCAGAGTGGGTGAACCTTAAATTAGCATTTTAAATGTGGTAATAAGTTAATATTATATAACACCTTGTACCCAAAGTGTTGTACCCAAGTTTTATATAATATATAAATTAATTCTTATATCTTCACTAGCTCTCAGGAAGGGAGGACAGGTCTTTCTTATTACTGTGAAATATCTGCTCATGGGAATGAGATCTGAAGCTACGGTGTACATCATTTTAATAGCCCCTCCATTCTGACTCTTATTTTTAGGTATGTGGATGGTGAGTGCTGAAAGTGGTATAATTGTTCCAGATGAGATGGTGACTCAGTGACAATGTTGGGAATGTGAGTAACCTATATTTATTCATTAAATGAAATATTTTAGAAACTCGAAATAGGCTTAACAGACATCAAGATGACTTGAATTTCAGGTCACTGGTCATAGGACTAAGCCTCCCAATTTGAAGCCACAGCACTCATTCTAGAAAATATTCAAAGAAGGAGAGAAATTATTTTCCTGAGAAATGCAAAAAAGAATTAACAAACTGACATGGTTTTGGCTGGGTGTTATGGTCCCTTTGCAAAAGCACAAAAATGTCCTCACCTCTTCCCATATATTTCTAGAATGTTTATTCTGACTCAATCTACTTGTCTATTTTACAATTAATACACCATTTAAAATTACTGTAGCTCAATATGTTTTTATATTCAAGAAGGCAAATCCCTTCTCATTATTCTTATTTTTCAAAACAGTTTTCTAATTCCCAACTTTTATGTAAAGCATCCAGTATGCCATATCATATTAAATATGATATTAGGTATTTATTCCTAAAAAAATTTATTATACTATGTTAAAAATGTTTTCTGTGTTTCTTAGCTGGAAAAGCTGTTGAATTTTATCAAGTATTTAGTCCACTATAAACATGATAGTTTTGTTTTTCATGTCATAAGTTACATTTACAGATTCCTCAGTGTTGACCTACCTCGGATTCCTATGGCTACTTCTCAATTTCTGTCAATGACTCATCACTCTCACTTGGATCTTTAAAACTAAGTTCATCAGTGGTCCTGGCACTCCATTTCTCATGGTGCTGTCTCAAGAGATGATGCTTTCATCCACCTCTGTGAATCTGGTAAGCTGAGATATATGCCCTAATGTTTCCCTAATTAATATCTCAGTAGTTGGCAGAGACATCTTCCTGGCTGCTGAGGTCTGAATCCCAGAATTAGATTTCTAAATATTTTTAGGATTTGAGGGATCATTATGCAAACACACCGCTTAGGGGCTGGACAGATGTGTGCCAGTGCCAGGCATCTTTCTGCTCTGTGATCCTTTTCTAAGCCCTGAATGCAGACTATAGGAGAGTAGATATTTTGCCCAGCACTGTGTCTTCAGCACCTCTAACAAAACCTAACACAGAGAAGGCATTCAAGAAGCACTGAACAGGGCTGGGTGCGGTGATTCCTGTAATCCCAACACTCTGACAGGCCAAGGAGGGAGGATTGCTTGAGTCTGAGTGTTTAAGATCAGCCTAGACCCTCCCTGTCTATAAAAGATGGAAAAAATTAGCTTTGTGTGGTGGTACATGCCATTAGTACCAGCTACTCAGGAGGGTGAGGTGGGAGGATCACTCGCGCCTTGGAGGTCGGGGCTGCAATGAGCCATGATTTCATCACTGTCTCAAAAACCAAAAACCAGAAACACTGAATGAATACTGAAGGAACAAATTCAATTGAGTTCTCATGAACTCCGATTTGAAATATGTCTACCCACCTGTTTTGTCCATCTGTCAGCTCAACCTTCTCTTTAGCACTGTGTCTCACGGCCCTACTACCCCCTGCCCAATCTGACAAGAATAGAGGGCACTCCTGCCTATTCAGGATTACATGAAGCACAGGAATTAATCAGAGAGGGAAGGGCGTCAACAATCCAACTGCAACATTCACTAGATTCATATCTTTCAAAAGTACACATCATTACTGAAAACTGACTCAGAAAGCCTGCTACAATCTTTTGCCTAGTGGGCTGGACTCAGTGGCTCACACCTGTAATCCCAGCATTTTGGGGGCCTGAGGCACTGCTTGAGGACAAGAGTTGAAGAACAGCCTGGGCAATACAGTAAGACCCTATCTCTACAAGAAAATATAAATAATTTTTTAAAAGAAGCCTGAGTGAAGAGAGGGCTGTACTATATACAATCTACAACAAAATTGGAGAGCAAAACCTGTGACTTAAGTAGGAGTTATGTGAATAGAAGAATGCATGTATATTTGGTAGCAAAATTTTCAAAACCTAACCACGTTCCCCTCAAAGAACTCAGCCAGTAGAGCTACCTGTGTGCAGGCAGCAGACTTTGCCCTGGGTATGGAGGAGTGGTAGAGAGAAACCAAGAGCTGGGTCAACCTTGCAGGTGACAGGGACAGAAATCCAAAGGCAGCTGAGGTCTACTTAAGGGAGATACAAGATGCCATGCAGTGTTTTAAATTTCATTTGGTGCTATGGTTTGAATGTACCCCCTTCAAAATTCATGTCGAAACTAATCCCCATTGTGGTTTTAAGAAGTGAAGACTTTTTTTTTTTTTTTTTTTTGAGATGGAGTTTCACTCTTCTCCCCCAGGCTGGAGTGTGCAATGGTACAATCTCAGCTCACTGCAACCTCTGCTTCCCGGGTTCAAGTGATTCTCTTGCCTCAGCCTCCAGAGGCAAGAGGGATTACAGGCATGCGCCACCATGCCCAGTTAATATTTATATTTTTAGTAGAGACAGAGTTTCACCATGTTGGCCAGGCTAGTCTTGAACTCCTGATCTGAAGTGATCCATCCACCTTGGCCTCCCAAAGTGCTAGGATTACAGGTGTGAGCCACCGCGCCCGGCCAAGAAGTGAAGGCTTTTGGGAAGCAATTAATAGAATGAATAGATTAGTGCCTTACAAAAGAGCCTGAGGAAACTAGCTTAGGTCCTTCTGCTATTGGTTCCCTTTCTGCCCCTTCTGCTCCTCCTCCTTCTTCCATGCAAGCATACCACTGTGAGAAGACAAGAAGATGCCATCCATGGAGCAGGCCCTTACAAGGCACCGAACATGCTGGAACTCTGATCTTGGACTTCCCAGCTTCCAGAGATGTGAGAACTAAATTTTGGTTCTTCATAAATTACGCAGTCTCAGATATTTTGTTTTAGCAGCACAAAGGAGCTGAGACACCTGGCTTCCAAGAGGCATTTGTCAAGGTCGGAGGGCGAACACCATGATCACCCACTCTGTGTGGTGCAGTGCCTCAGTCTGACTTGTTCCTCAACTCTCCCACTTGCCTGGCCTCTGCTCATGTGATCTCAGGAATGTCTACAGCAACTAAAACTGTAAATGAGGTCACTCACTCTTAATGAGATGCTCCTTCAAAATGCTGCCTGGAGGTAGGCTCTAAGACAGATGCTTTGTGCCAGGAGATGGAACAAGCAACCACGGCTACCACCTCCAAACCAGGCCTTACTGCTCCAGTTTTGGGGATGGTCTATGTTCCTTTTGGAAGAACTCACCCACTAACTTTTCTGGGAGGGATGAAGTTAGGGCAGAAGACTTTTCTTCAGCTTGTGTTAGGTGCTCAGCACTAATTAGCTTTCTGTGTCATCAGAATCTGA